GCTGTGCACTGGAAATATGCAAAGAAGGAGCCATTTGCTAGTGGAAATTGGTAGGGCCCTATGATGTCAAATAACCAATCTGTAATTATAGCAGAGGAAGAGCTTACTCATTCTTTTTAACTGACTCCACTTAGAAAGCTATTCCCGATAAAAAAAAAAAATCCTATTGCCAAAGCTATCAGTGACTTGCTTAGAAATGTTAAACATTTATAAATCTGGATACATTTACTTCTGAACAAAGTAGTTCACTTTTTCTCCCCCAAAACGCTGTTCATCATTCACCTTCAGATATGCGCTCCTTTGTTTCTTATTCCTGAATGGAATGAAAGCCAGTATTATTTTGTTCAGAAATACTATTTATAGTTGAATTCTTGTGGTATTTGAACTGTGGTCAAATCCTATTAAGGGCCAAAAGCTGTTGTTGGGTTCCTGTGTACACTACATGTTTTGTGCAGTTTTTTTAAAGGATTCTGATTTTGCTGTAAAAGAAGACAAAGCTAAACTGACCTCTCTACCTTCTGTTTTACGCAAGTCCTACGTGGCATTCCTAAAACAATATGTATATGTAAGAAAAGATTCCTAAATTGAGTCCTTTCATTCTGGTTTTGTATCCACCAAGGTGGCCTAATATCTTAAAAGCCATGGGATGTTCTGTAGCTGTACTAGTGTGTCATGACTTGGGGCTTCTTTTACAGTGCAGCTATCATAAGTCTTTGAGTAATCACAGACTTTAAAAGTATGCTACATCAACAAGATAAGAGAAACAGCCCACAGCACTAACAGCATTATCTTTTACCAAAATTGATTAGCCCATACTATGTGTCTCAAATATTTTGTATAAACTTACTCAGCAAGCTGGAAATAAGTGTGTTCCTGAAGAACAAGCTGAAAAAAAATACTTGCTCTGTAGCAAGGAAAAGGGAAGTAAATATCACTAAATGGAATGTCTCAAGTAATTTTTTTTTTACCTAACTCACAAAAACTAAAAGCAGGGCATCACTTCCTCTCTACTTGTATTTCTTAGTGCTGCTTCTGTTATGCTTCTTGCTGTACTTTTCAATCAGACGGTTGACAAGTCTAGGATGAAAACAGCAAAATACAACTGCTTCTCGACTTTGCCATAGGAATGATGAATCCCAGGGGTGTATATGAATTCTATATACTATAACTTGCTGTTATGTGAAGGAACATTATGTTCAGTGTTCAGTACTGAGGTGGTCTGCTGCAATTGCTGATCACTAGGAACTCCTAACAGTGTTTGGCACAGATTTTTCTGCTTCCTTTGGGCTGGAGCACAGATTAAGTGAAGCTGCAGCAGTTTTTCATCCTTTCTTTCCTTTTCTCCCTGCTCGTTGGGATCTCCATGGACAGGCATCTGTGAAGAGTCAGTACCAGCTGAGTCTTTCCACTTCTTACTGCACGTGGTGATGTGGCAATAAAATCTCCGCTGCTCTTCCTTTTCCTGATGTAATCCGTGAAGATGCTGAGCAGTTGTACAGGGGACGGTAGCTGCAGAGAGCGCTTCTGACTTACATCTGAACTTCTTCGGAGGCTGAAGGGGAAAATCTTGTCTTGATGACACAATTTTCAAACTCTTTTACTTAAGAGTCATGGAGTGAGGTTCTCTTTTTTCCAGCAAACTCTCGAGGTCACAACTTGCTTGGGGCCACAGGTATGGCACCACTTAAACCAGCGTCCTCATGGGAAGCTGGCAGTGAGCAGACGACAGCCCCGTTCTCGTCAGCGGGAGACTGGGCCCGTCTGTTGCTGCAGTTTCGATACCATTCACCAAATAGGAAATTTCAGAGGAGCAAAATGTCGTAAATGAATGCAGGAAAGTTGCAGGCTCCTTACTCCAGGGTCAGGGGAATTCAGGAGAGAATGTTTAATAGTGACATTTGTAATCTGTCTTCTACAAACCCTTGTACTAGCCCCTGGCCTTCCTGCTTAAGGCAGACAAAGGAACGTATACGGGGATTTTACAAAAGATGCAGGCTGTGGTAGGGAAAAAAAAAATCTTAGCAGATGCTTGTAGACCCTGATGTGCAGTGTTTTTTTAACTTACAGCTCTCTTAGTGTTAATTTTTTCCCCTAAACAAAGATTTTCAGTGAAAAAAAAATCTTTGCCAAGGATCAAATTGTAATGTGCTGCACCTTGTACAAGCATAGCCAAAATGTCTGTGTTTGCCAAAACATATGAGCAGATTATCCTTCCCAACTCTAACATTCACCCATAGTGTTAAAATGGCAGCTGGTCATGGTGACCAGAGAGAAATGTATCTCTTTTGCAGAACTATGACCAAGGGAAACAGGAAGGTTATGCAGCAAAATGTTTTGTAACCCTGTCTGCAATCTGCTATTCTGTCATGGTGTTCTGAGTGGAGGGGAAAATACAGCAGCATGAGTACAATTCAGCATGATGTTACCCCATCTGTAGTACATTTCAATGTATTCATACATATTGAAATGTATTGCCCAAACTACGACTTGGAACTGTAACAAAAGAGAATAAAAGAGAGAAAGAACCCACATTAACTTATTTGGAGGAAAAAAATACAGTTTTGGAAAATAATTGCTTGTTTTTATGTTTGCATCAAACCTGAACTACTTCTCAGGTATAAGATTCAAGTTATTAATTTTATTTAAAATACAAAGTGTAATGATGTGTACCTTAAAACTTAGGTAGGTTTTTGGATATCACTGGATGATCTGCCCTAAGTTTGTCGTTCTTAATCCATTAAAAGACAGGCCTGCTTGTAAATCCACAGGTACAGATAAGGAGTCACTGTTTGACTGTGTCTGAACCCTTTTCAAATGAAAAATGTCAGTGGCAGAAAGGGAGGCTGAATTATTTTTTAAAAGGGTTTTCAAAGATTCTCATGATTCCTCTGGTATCAGTTAAATGTGACATGTCCATAGACATGGCTGTTTTTTAGTGTGTAAAAGCAAGCAAATGCTACAGTTTTCATCTCTATGTAGAAAGAAAATGCTGCAGTACGCCTAAGTGATCAACATGTTACCTTGCAATACCAGAAAGATTTCTCTCTTCCATAATTAACATATAAAGAGATTTTTTAAAGTTAATACAATTTGTAACAATGTGACTGTGAGAGGGAAAAAATGCGTATATTTTATTTTTTTGTCTGTTTGGGTGCGTATCTATCACATCTGTAAATTAGATATAATTAATCCATAAGCTTTCCTGCTCACATACTGCCTTTTAGAATGTCATAGCACTGTCACGATGAGGACTCACCCGCATACACAGAAGCTTTTGTAAACTGATACAGCTCTATTTCCTAGATTTGTTCCAGTTTGCAGGAAGGATCTGATGCACAATTTTACATAGAGTAGTTTTTTGTAATCTGCAACACTCAGAGGTGAAATTTAGATTTCTGTGCTTGAAAATGGAAGCTGGAGCCAAGTCTTCTCTTTGGAAAACAGTCGAGGTTAACCCCTGTGGACAAGGAGAACCTTCACAGCCTGACTGCAACATAAATCCAGGCATCCATGGGAATGGTTAGCTTGGGGAAGTCTGTGGAGACTGCCTGCAAGCCAGGGGGAGTTACTCACTTCCTCCGGCCCAAGGTTCATTTCACAACAACTGCCAGTTCTAAATCTGGGACGAGCTGACTTCTTGCACAGTTGGACTTTGCCCTGTTTGTGGAAAAGCACCATCCTGATTTGGGGTAGAGCTGTTGAGAAGGGACATGCTGATGCAAAAGGCAGGAATTACTGTTGCATCTGGTTGGTACAGAAAGGGACGAAAGGGCTTCAGCATGCAGGGAAAATGGGTCAGGAGAAATCATGGCTGCAGCGAGGTCGGGGTGAGCTCTGCTGCTCGTGAGAACAGCAACAGATTTTCAGCCTTCCTTCAGGAAAGCCAAAGCTTGGAAGTGCAACAGCATGTAAAATTCAGTTAAACGTCTAACAAGAAAAGCACAGACCGGTCTCCTCTTGTTCCATTTTATCCTCCTAAAACTTTAAGACCAGAATTTATTTGAATTGTTTTAGAAAAGAATGTTAGAAATTGTGTATCTAAGCACAACTGTTACTATATTTTTAACTGCAACATTTGTTCATAGAAAAATAGGCTTATTGAAGAGACTGCTCTCAAAGAAGAGTTGTGCAGAGTATTTTTTTTTTATTCTGGAATGAAGTGAGAAAATATTGGGGAGAAAGGTGGTGACTGAATTTTATTTTTCCTTCTATGGTAATGATCAATTGCATATTATTCTTTTCTCTTTTCACTGGAAAACCCCAGAAAAGTTAAAGAGAGCTAAGGTAACAATTTCACTTTTAAGGGTTAATTCTGAAGTCCTTACTTTCAAAAACAAAATTTGCTTTGAAAAATGCACTATATCCTCCCCGCCATTGCTTTTACATATTTTGTGTTAAAACCTTAAGCTAGCAATTTGAATTATTTTGGGTCTAATTCTGAAATGTTACTGCCTGTAAAACCTCACTCGATTTAAAATCCTTGTATTTTTAATAGCAGTAAATGGTTTTCGTAGTTTCTTCAAAATTAGTAGAGTTGTTTTGGATTTATATTACTATAAAGTATGTCTTTAAAATTTTTAGTAGCTGAATGCTTCAGAACGTGGTCTTGTGGCAGCAAAATGCATCAAGGAGGTTAATGCACTGGGTGTGGCTGCTATTGCACGGTCTCCTTTCAGCTATCATCTCCCCCCTCCTCAGCATTTCTTAAGAACTTTTATGAAACAGCTATTCTGAATAAAAATGCCTTCAAGCTCTAATGCGTGTGAAAAGATGCAAGAAAGGAACGGGACTTTCTAAACCAAATTTGAATATAAAGGAAAAAGGTTTGTTTTTCTTTCGCAGGATGACAAGATCAGTTGTTTTTCAGACAAGCATAATTAATTGTCTTTATATGGGCCCTCAGAACATTGGGCATATAAAGCCAACACAAAGGCAGAGGAGGTTATTGTCAAGGCGCAAGTGAAAGTACTCTCAACACTGCTTGTTTTCTTTGTTTGCAGGAGAGTTGGAGGTGGTCCAGAAAGACGGGGAGCGCAAGATTCAGAGCCGGCAGCAGCTTCCGGTTGGAACAACATGGGGGCCTTTTGCTGGGAAGATGGATCTGAATAATAACACCTTGGTATGTAGATGCTCCGAGACGCTTTGCTTTGTTATATTGTGTGTCATTCTTTAGGGAATAGCCTGAATTACTACTCAGCCGGAGCATTTGAAAACAGGCATTGTTAGCTTTCATGGACAGTGGTATTTGGCTCTTTTCCAATTAGTTCATCTATGGCAACCATCCACGTAAAGTTATTTGGAGCACAGGTTAATAGTATTAAACTTGTTATTTTACAGAAGGGAAATGTCACTTCCTTGTTCGCTGAACCAAGCTGTTGCGTTTCAGTAGTAATACCTGGATTTTAATGGCTTTTAAAATTTTTTATAGCATTAATTGCTGAATACTTAATTTATATTAATGGATGGTACAGAAAATAAATAGCTACATTATTTTAGGATAAAATTCATTAAATTTGCCTTAATGTTACTGAACATAGCAAGATCTTCCCTCAGATTAAAATTTTTCTGAAAGATATCGAAAGGCACCTGTCATATAATATATTCTCAATTAACCTTGTTTTTTATTCTGATTGCAGAAAGTACGTGGACCATATTACTTAAAAGTAATGCTTTGCTGGTCTCAGTTCAGTGCACTGAAAATCATGTCATTCCTAGGTCTTCATTTTGTTTCTGTTTGTATTGGTTTTAAGTCTGGGCTTCAATATTATTTGTGTATAGTTCAGATTAATTTTCTGAGAATATCTGGAAAGGTGACCCTGTATTGAAAAAAAGCAACTAATATCTCTAGAAGAAGGGTTTAGACAATCTTGGAACATGCATTGCCCTGTGGGATACTATCTTCAGCTGGATCACTGTTTGCTATTACAGACTTTGCATGACTGTATTAGCATAAAGACCTGTGGAATTGTTTCGCAGAAGTGTATTACATACATTTGGGGTAGATACATCTGTGCTGTAAATGGAGAAGCTGAGCTTCCCAGTGTTGGGGGTATTGTCGGGCCCTTGGAGGACCTGAAGAGAGTGAGGAGTACTGAGTTGCTGAAGTACCATCTGGGACAGTGTGAGAGAAGAGTTGTGTGGACATGGGAGAAAAGGGGAGAAACTGATAATCTTTAGCTCCTCCCTGGAGAACCTATGCCTCTATATTGGAGTTCTCTTTTAGGGGCTTGCTGGATAGTATGCATGTTACTGTCTGTAAATATGCATATTAAAATTGTAGTGAAGCGTTATTCTGTTATGAGTACATAGTAGCCATTTAAGATCTTGATATTTTGTAGACTCTTTAGCATAATTTATTAATCAAAAGGTGCTAACAAGATGTTACAGAAAGTGGCATGGAAACTTTTCTAAGTTTCCTAGAGTTCAGTTATTCCCAACCCAGATCAGATTTCCCATTCAGGCACCTGAATAAAAAGGATGGATTTTCAAAAGTACTGGACACTCAAAGCGTCTTATTGTTAGAAAGGGGAGACTGGACAATTTGAATACCTCTCTCCATTTTTTCCATCCATTTCATTTTAATTTCTTTGTCTATTTTATTCTTGGTCTGTCAGCATTCTCAAAATGTTTTTCATAAAATGTCTTTTGCAACAACTACCTATAATTCAAATAATTTTCTAAGATTCTACTTTTACTACTTTCATCAACTTTGATGCAACAGAAACCTTAGTCCTGGTGTAGCTCAAAGTCAGTCCACATAATACCTTAGGAAAAATGCTAGCTTTGTGTTGTCCCTATTGCCCTGTCCACTTGTACCACTTCCTCAGGTATATGTGTCTTGAAAATAATGTTGGAGTATGGGAGATGATGTTGATTGACCCTTCACTACGAAAGTTATCATTATCACATATTCTTAGGATGAATTTGCAACATGTCAGCAGTTGATCATATTGTTTCATTTTTGTTTTCTGAAGGAGACGTAGAGCAACCACAATCCTTCTAGGAGGAGCTTGCTTCTCCTTTGGCAGCACAGGCATATATTAAGGTCTGTTATTACTTTGTAAATTTGGGCAAATACCACTTTTACTGTAACAAAAACATTTAGCTAAGATATTTTGGTTTTAATTAACTTGTAATTAAGCAGTGAGCACAGTTGACTTTTTAGTTTGGTGATTTCTCAACCGAGTTTGGAGAGATGTGGGATGAAAATCTTCAGGACTTTTTTCTCACTGAACTGGAAAGATACTCATTTGTTTCTTGTCAAATTAAAAACCATAAAGTCTATTTTTGCTAACATTTGAAAGATTTTACTTTTGTTTTGCTTACTAATAAAAATAAATTTGGAAATCTGAAAAAGTTCCTGTAAACAGAATTGTAGTCCTCAGCAATATTGTTTTGTCCCCTGAGCAACTCCATCCTTTGAGATAGTCAAAACTGAACTAGATATGATCTTGAGCAATCTGAGTTAACTTCGAAGTTGGATCTGACTTTGAAGTTTGCCCTGCTTTGAGGAGGAGTTTGGACTGGATGACGTCCAGAGGTCCCTTCCAACCTGAATTATTCTGTGATTCTAAGTATTGTTTCTTTTTCCCGAATATCAGATGTTTCCTGCAGTCCTACATTTGTTACTTTAAAACGCTGTGTGAAGAAATGTAAATCTTTTGTTAGAACTTTAATTTACTGTTAAAACAACACAAACCCAGTGCCAGCTTCTACATATTTTTCTTTTATCTTTTTTTTTTTCTTGAAACTATTCTGGTTTATGTATGATTTTTCTGTTTGCTTGACACATTTGATTACTTTTCTCACTACTGAACATGCTCTCTGTTGTTCATAAGGGGAGTTGCGTTTGTTTACTTAAGTTATTTATATCTGTTTTAGAAAGCCCATTTGGGTAAAGCCTCACCTCCCTAGAATTGAATCAAACTTTCACATCAGCAGCTGACAACTGGTTTAGTTCATTTCTGAATGAGAACTTCAAACATTGCACTGTTATAAACATCAAATAATTTTTGGAAAAGAGCTTTAATGTGAATTTTTGGTATAGAGAGGAAAGGAAAGAAAAATTCAGGGAACGTCAGGTGAGTAAATATCACAATTTTTGCAGCTGCTCTCTTTATTGGAAAATATGTTTGTGGCTGACTACAAGTATTTTGCCTGACTTTACTGTTTAGTGTTAGCAATGTGACACTGCCTCACAGGATTCATTACCTAGCTATAACAGTTACAGCTTGCTTACTAACCTTGTACTCTGCACTGTATACAGCCTGTACATGTAATATCCTGTTGAAGTGCTTCGTATTTCAAGCAGTGCTGTGTTGCTGAATACAGTCTCACTGTTGGCTCAGGAGACAGAGCAAGCTAATTAATTCAGCACGATAATTAATTGAGTCACCGTGCCAGATGTCAAATACTTTTTAGATCTTTCAAGTTTCTGTCTTGAAGTATATTAACAATATACATCTCAGAGTAGTGGAAGGTTGGGTACCTTGAACAAAAATGATTTAAGTGCTGTTCGCAATTGCAACAGGAATAGCAGCTGTTGACTTCATCAGCAGTGCCGCAGCACTGTCGGGAGGTATGGTGGAGCAAGGTCTATATCAGGACTGCAGAATACTCAGACTCTAATGGTAGACTTCAAATAGCTCAATGACTAATAAAGTTCGTAATTTTTCTCATCTAGGAGTTAGCCAATACTCATGAATTGCAGTGATCAAAACACCTTATGAAATAATGTACACCATTGCATTACTGTTACTGTTGATGAAACAATCTGCATGCAGCCACCAGAAATCTTAAGAACGTTGTTTTTAACAACAAAGAGTGAGTCTCGGATCTTAAAACTTGTCTAGGCATTTAATTCCCATTTCAATCTGAACTTAAGAACTCCTTATATCATTATTAAATATTTATAGATATCTATTTAGATACTTTTATTATATTTAGAGTGATATATCTCCTATTTAGATACTTTTAATGATCTGTTCCTGTAATTTTGCCAAACTGGCAAAATTCTCCTGCTCTCAGCTTCATGCATAGTTTGTATTCGTCTGCACAATTAGGCATAGAGGTTATTGCCTTCCATTTCCTTCCACTTCTTCCACTTTCTATCAACTGTTCCATAATAGTTGATAATCCCAAGAAAATGAAATGCACAGGAGTATCTTTTCAAGCCTAGAAAGTGTACTTCTAAAATAAGAGCTTGTTCTCTTGTTTTACAGTAAAAAGAGACCACCTACATGTTTCCAGATTCTGTTTGAGATTTAATATAATCTTGCTGTTTTGACAAACAGACACATGAAGAGTTTTGTACAGTACTGCTTTCTGTCTACAGTTGGTGAGAACTCAGCTCTACAAGGAAGGTGACACGATTTAATCACTAGTTTTACCAGGAAGGCTCCAACTTTGCACCTTGCTGCATCACAGAAATTTCAGTAGTTCATGTGTACCTACAAGTAGACAGGAATATATTTCTAAGCGTGAAACTCCTAGCTCGTGATTCCTGTCTTTAACAGGAAAGTGGATTTGCACAAATGTCAAGTCTAATGTGAACAGGCAGGTGAGAAGAGCAGAAGACCCCTCTAGGCTGGTCATACAAACCACTGAAAGAGTAGCTGCTGTGCATAAGCAGCTCCAAATTCAAGGCACTAGCAGCATATTTAAGAAAAAGCCATTTGCTTGCTTTTTCCCAGCTGTAAATATTTTCCCTGTTTGAGGGGATAACTTGGTGGGAATGAGGCCCTTGGAAACAAAAGCGGCACAGAACCGCGTAGCCCACGACGGACGTTGAGCAGCGGCTCGTGCCATCTCTCTGGTAGTTGAGTGGAGGCATTCTGAAAGTCCTTTTCCCTTGGCTGCCACCATCTAGTTTTTGGTGTTAATCTGTGCCCATGGCAGGGTTTTGTGAAGCAAAACAATGAGCAGCTGGATCCTGCCCCCCGTTCTTGTCGTCTTGTCGCAGGGAGGAGCACGTGGGGCAGGCCTGTATCGGCCTGATAAGGAAAAGAGGATTCAACGTGGCTGTGGAGGGAATCTGCGGGAGGAAAGTGTACAGGGTTGGGCCAGGCGAGCAGTGGGATACAGCAGGGACCCTTTAATGGGATCTGGGAGGTTCAGCGC